ATAGTATAGCGAATGCCCAAGATGTCTTGAAAACTTCTATCAAAATTTTAAATAAACGAATTCAAACATGTGAAATAATACTGCTTATTATTTGTAATGTAGTTTTCCTTGCAAAACATGAAATCAGAGTGTAGTTTCTAAAGCTGCACATGAATTTATAGTTAGTGTATTTCAGCCTTGATAAAATGGTGCAATAATTAAGTTGAAGTTTCTTCCTCACACTGTTAGATCTGAATATTTTCTGTGTCGCCTATCTAGTTCGGGTGTGACCACTCAGCTTTCCTTGACCTTCATTACCTAAGTGAACCCTGCCTTCTGTAACCAGGCTTCCTCTAGCTCTTCTAGTCCTGGTTTATGCCCTCTTGGTTAGTTTTTAATTATCCAGAAAGCCCACCAAATGACTTTCTTCACTTATTTTCTATGCCATATATTGAGGAACTTCATTCAGTTGAGTACCTCCTGGACACATATGGTAATCCAAGCATTGTTCTAGACTCTGAAGAGACTAAACAATTTTTGTCTAGTTTTATACTTCAGAACTTTTTCTCCAAGGGTTTCTTCAAATGTGTGTAGATTTAGTCTCCTCAAGAGATAATAATATTCACCAGACTATGATAGTGGATTATGCAATTTTGGGGCATCCTTTGGCTCAAGAATGTTTAGAAAGTATCAATAACTATTCTGTCCTCTGGTTTTTACCAAACTGTGTCTTATTTCACATAAAAGGTAATACTACAACAAATGAACTTAAGATGACAGCATATGCTTTCTTACCATGAGAGTCAACATATGAGTATGTTTCTGAATCAGAAGAATGTGGACAAAGTTAACTCCAGGCTTTAATATCCTCATCTTTAGCAGTGATTTTGTATAAGGGCCAAGTGAAAAGTCAAATTTGAAATCAACGTAAACAGTTGACACTTCCTAGAGTGGGAGAAGCAAGGAATGCTGCTTTTTAAAAAAAAAAATTTATTTATTTTTCTTTAAAAAAAAAAAAAAAGAGTTACATAGAGAGGAGAGGCAGAGAGAGAGAGGGAAAGAGGTCTTCCATCCGCTGATTCACTCCCTGATTGGCCACAATGGCCAGAGCTGCGCTGATCCAAAGCCAGGAGCCAGGAGCTTCCTCCAGGTCTCCCACAGGGGTGCAGGGGCCCAAGCACTTGGACCATCTTCTACTGCTTTCCCAGGCCATAGCAGAGAGCTGGATTGGAAGCGGAGTTATCCAGGACTCAACCCAGTGCCCATATGGGATGCCAGCGCCACAGGTGGCTGGCTTTACCCACCATGCCACAGCACCAGCCCAGGAATGCTGCTTAAATATAGGCTATCATCTCTGTCATACCATCAGTGCATTAAGTAGAACAACAAGTGATGAAAGGAATCCTTTTTAGTATTAAAAGGATACATTTATCACAACTCCTTTATCTAACCCCTCCAAAAAAAAAAAAAATGAAGATTTATTTTATTTATTTTAAAGAGTTAGAGAGAGGCAGAGATAGACAACGGTTTTCTTTCTTTCTTTCTTTCTTTCTTTTTTTTTTTTTTTTTTTTTGACAGGTAGAGTTATAGACAGTGAGAGAGAGACAGAGAGAAAGGTCTCCCTTCCATTGGTTCACTCCCCTAATGGCTGCCACGGCCAGCACTGCGCCAATCCGAAGCCAGGATCCAGGTGCCTCCTCCTGGTCTCCCAGGCAGGTGCAGGGGCCCAAGCACCTGGGCCATCCTCCACTGCCCTCCGAGGCCACAGCAGAGAGTTGGACTGGAAGAGGAGCAACCGGGACTAGAACCCGAAGCCCATATGGGATGCTGGCGCTGCAGGTGGAGGATTAACCAAGTGAGCCAGAGCGCCGGCCCCCAGATAGAGGTTTTCATCTGCTAGTTCACTCCCCAGTTGGCTGCAACGGCCGGAGCTGAGCTAATTCGAAGCCAGGAGCTTCTTTGGGTCTCCCTTGTGAGCATCAGGGACCCAGTCCTCTGCTGCTTTGCCAAATGCATTAGCAGGGAACTGGATTGGAAGTGGAGCAGCCAAGAATCAAACTGGTGCTCATACGGGATGCCAGCACTGCAAGCCAGGGCTTTAACCCACTGTGCCACAGGGCCAGCCCCAACACCGCCATTCTTTCTTTCCTTCAACATGTACACATCCTCAACCCATGACTTTCTAGTAACTTCCTTAAATGTCCTTTTTGTCATTCCTGAATTTTCAAGGCATGATAGTACTATGTCCTGATACATTGCAAAATATTTTGTGAAAGCATAGCTTTTTAAGGGAAATTTGGCAGTTTTCTATTCTGTGGTTTTCCTGTTGATGTGAATTAAGTAGTCCTATTGTTTTTTTCTTTCTTTCTTTCTTTTTTAACTTTTATTTAATGAATATAAATTTCCAAAGTACAGCTTATGGATTACAATGGCTTCCCCCCCCCATAACTTCCATCCCACCCGCAACCCTCCCCTTTCCCACTCCCTCTCCCCTTCCATTCACATCAAGAATCATTTTCAATTCTCTTTATATACAGAAGATCAGTTTAACATATATTAAGTAAAGATTTCAACAGCTTGCACCACATAGAAACACAAAGTGAACAATACTGTTTGAGTACTAGTTATAGCATTAAATCACAATGTACAGCACACTAAGGACAGAGATCCTACATGAGGAGTAAGTGCACAGTGACTCCTGTTGTTGACTTAGCAATTTGACACTCTTGTTTATGGCATCAGTAATCACCCTAGGCTCTTGTCATGAGTTGCCAAGGCTATGGAAGCCTTTTGAGTTCACCAACTCTGATCATATTTAGACAAGGTCGTAGTCAGAGTGGAAGTTCTCTCCTCCCTTCAGAGAAAGGTACCTCCTTCTTTGATGACCTGTTCTTTCCACTGGGGTCTCACTCGCGGAGATCTTTCATTTAGGTCTTTTTTTTTTTTTTGCTAGAGTGTTTTGGCTTTCCATGCCTGTAATATCTCATACTAGCTGATAGAATAAAAAGGGAGAGAACAATCCAACATGGGAAGCGAGATACACAGCAGACCCATAGAATGGCAGATGTCCTAAACAGCACTCTGGCCTCAGAATCAGCCCTTAAGGCACGCGAACCTATTGTTTTCATTTAGAAAAAATGCTCTCAAGACTTTTCTTTTTAAAATATTTATTTATTTGAAAAAATTACAAAGAGGGGAGAATGGGGGCTCTTCCATCCACTGGTTCACTCCCCAAATGGCCACAGCACCGGAGCTGGGCCGATCCAAAGCCAGGAGCCAGGAGATTCTTCGGAGTCTCCCACTCAGGTGCAGGGGCTCAAGGACTTGGCCATCTTCCACTGCTTTCCCAGGCCAAAGCAGAGAGCTGGATTGAGAGTGGAGCAGCTGGGACTCGAAACGGCACCCACGTGGGATACCGGTGCTGCAGGCAACATCTTTACCTCCTACTCCACAGCAGTGGCTCCAAGAATCTTCTTAATAGTTAGTCCTTACAGGGTTAGATGCCTGCATCAGAGTGGCTCTTGTATCTTTCAATACAAATAGATCTTGTTCTAAAGAGTCTCTTATGAGTGATATTACTGTACTACAGGCCCACAGGTAGTCCATCCAGCTGAAGACAGAAGTCAATGATAGGACAAAAGGATGGGTAGAGCTGACCCTGCAGCTCCCTGTTGGACTCAAATGATGCATCAAATGGAGTTGGATTCCTGTCTTCATCTAGTTCAGTGTTTCCAAGTAGAAATATTTCTCATTGAAATGTTTGCAAGAGCTGCTGAGGCTGTAAACATCTGTTTGAGATTTCTGTGTGTTGTGCTATTTAGGTTAGATATTTTTTAAAGATCCTGTTCATTTTTAAAATTCTCTGAAACTGTACCTCCCCTCTGGTTTATACAAATTCTTCAACTAGTGAGCTGAAACTCATTATGTGAAACTCTAAAAATTCATTGGAAAAAAAAATAGAACGGGCTGTCTCTAAGCAACTAAACAAATCAATTATAAAACTAAGGACATGGCCTTATTTGGGTAAAGCAAGTATTTTCATTGGTTTGACTGCTTTTTTTTTTTTAAGATTTATTTACCTTCAACACCTATTTTTTAAAAAGGATTGATTTATTTATTTGAAAGAGTTACAGAAAAGGAGAGAGAGGAAGAGACAGAAAGGTCTTCCATTCACTAGTTCACTCCCCAAATGGCCGCAACAGCCAAAGTCAGGCTGGTTCTATTACTTTATGCTTAAAAAGTCATTTCTCAGTTTAACACCAGTTAAATACCCACCTGTATTTTCTTTAGATTTTTTAAAATTGTTTCATTGTTTTATATTTTTTTTCTGTTCCAGACATTGCTAACTATGAGTCCAGGTTTATTCTTCACAGTTCTGTACATAATTGTGTGTGTGTGTGTGTGTGTGTGTACATACACACAATTACATTCTCAATACAACCTCCCACCTCCCCCTTCCAAATAAATAGCCAAGTTACTTCTTTAATCAATCTGGACATTCTGGGGTATAAAGTGGAATAGTGAGACTTTTTTTTCCCCCTTTTCCCCAAACAGGTAAATATATATGCTAGATTGTTTAGTGAAATTGTCTACTATGACTTGCAATGCCTTTGAAAAATAAATTTGTGGCCGGCGCCGCGGCTCACTAGGCTAATCCTCCGCCTTGCAGCGCCGGCACACCAGGTTCTAGTCCCGGTTGGGGTGCCGGATTCTGTCCCGGTTGCCCCTCTTCCAGGCCAGCTCTCTGCTGTGGCCAGGGAGTGCAGTGGAGGATGGCCCAAGTGCTTGGGCCCTGCAGCCCATGGGAGACCAGGAAAAGCACCTGGCTCCTGGCTCCTGCCATCGGATCAGCGCGATGCGCCGGCCGCGGCGGCCATTGGAGGGTGAACCAACGGCAAAGGAAGACCTTTCTCTCTGTCTCTCTCTCTCACTGTCCACTCTGCCTGTCAAAAAATAAAAATAAATAAATAAATAAATTTGTTTTTATTTAACTAATGTATGATTTCATTTTCTGTCCACAGAGAAAGTTAGAGAAATTCAAGAAAAACTAGATGCTTTCATTGAAGCTCTTCATCAGGAGAAATAAATTATATTAAGTGAGTAAAATTGGTACTAACTAAATACAAAATTTGTATTTTAAACGACTTTGTTCTGCTTAATTGTATCCTGCTTGTTACTTACATAATAACTTTCATTGCATGAATCTCTGAAACTAGCTTCTGAATTTAATATGTATAATACTGTTTTAAATAACTTGATTGCTTTCTGGCTGAACTAAAATTATTTCCTAGAATTTATTTTGAAGAAAACAAAGGTGAACAAAGAGTTAAGATTATAATGTACAGGCAATGCATTTTCTGCATGTAAAGCATTGAATTGTAGTTGTCACTAGTTTATTCCTAGTTGTTCATAGTTAATGAATAATTACATGGATGTTAAATATTCCACTTGCAAAAGTGTTTTATTTGGGTAGGCTAAAAGTGCAGTTTGTTCTCATTCTCCCTTTTGTTTAAAAACAATTAGAAAAGGCCTTTTCTTATTTAATTTCTGTACCCTTAGAATTTAATATTTTTCTTAATGTATATGTTGTCTAATTCTTTGGTCTGGCATTAGAACATGTTCCTAATAAAATATATATGTAAAGATTGCCCTTACTAGCATACTCAGTTGTTTTTTATCACTGAGGAATTATAATCAGTAAGTCTTTGTTTTTGTTGAAAAAGTTAAGAAGAAAAATAGTACAGTTAAGCCATTTTCATTTATTTAAAATAGTTCATCACCCTGTAAGCCTGACCCTACAGGTAGCTTACAGCCTGGTCAGAACTAAAAGGAATAGAAATGTGAAAGGTTTGCTCACTGGCTGTACTCATTTCAGCTCAGAAAAGGCTCTTAAACCAACCTACCCACTCTACTTTTATTATATATATATGTGTGTATATGTTTATATATATTTATTATAATAAAATAAATACACATTTATGTCATATATATCATAGTTCCTATGGCATTTCAAACAGTATACCAGCAGAGAAGAAGGAGTTAGAAAACTTTAGAACCGGCTGGCGCCGCGGCTCAATAGGCTAATCCTCTGCCTGCGGCACTGGCACACCGGGTTCTAGTCCCGGTCTGTCCGGATTCTGTCCCAGTTGGCCCTCTTCCAGGCCAGCTCTCTGCTGTGGCCAGGGAGTGCAGTGGAGGATGGCCCAAGTGCTTGGGCCCTGCACCCGCATGGGAGACCAGGAGAAGCACCTGACTCCTGGCTTTGGATCAGCGCGGTGCGCCAGCTGCAGCACTCCGACCGCAGCAGCCATTGCGAGGTGAACCAGCAGCAAAGGAAGACCTTTCTCTCTGTCTGTCTCTCTCAGTGTCCACTCTGCCTGTTCAGACAAAAGAAAAAAAAAAGAAAACTTTAGAACCAACCTTTGTTACTTTGTTTATTTCATACTCAAAGACAGATAGATGTATAAAAGTATACAAAAATACATAATCATCTTTAACACAAGCCAAAAATAATGTTAATGTTTTTACTTTGTTTTTAAATTTTTCTACATTGTCAGTCCATGAAAATTTTACTTTAAAACTGTAAAGTATTAAAATATCCTTGTCATTATACTTACTATGAATAGTTTCTATTAGAGATCATTGTTTTTACTAATTTCTGATTTGGATCTTCTCTTTAGCACTAGAGTTTACATGACACTTTTGTCTACAGGTGGGGGAAAATATTTATGAAATCCACAGAAACCACATTAAAAATGAAAGCTCTAAAAGGAAAAAATAAAATAAAAGCTGTAGTTCTCATTTTGTGTTAGTTGTTGAAATGTGTAAGTTCGGAGCCATGTACTATTTTACATAATAGCTTCTTTCCCCTAAGCCGATGACGGCCAGAGTTGCTGTTGCTGCTGGGAACTTGCCTGTTTCTGTCCCAAGAGCAGGTGACTGCAGCCCTAAGAGCTTAGTGTGATGTTTGTGTGTGGAGAGGCCCTGAGCCTAGGGGAACCATCCCAGTTTTCCTTTGTTTCCTTTCTGTCTAGAATCTCTAAGGCACTTCTCTAACCTTATGATTTATGACTCTGTTAACTGTTAAAAATATCTATGAATCGGGCCAGCACCGTGGCTCACTAGGCTAATCCTCCGCCTGTGGCGCCGGCACCATGGGTTCTAGTCCCCGTTGGGGCACTGGATTCTGTCCCGGTTGCTCCTCTTCCAGTCCAGTTCTCTGCTGTGGCCCGGGAGGGCAGTGGAGGATGGCCCAAGTCCTTGGGCCCTGCGCCTGCATGGGGGACCAGGAGAAGCACTTGGCTCCTGGCTTTGGATCAGCGCGGTGTGCCGGCCGCGGTGCGCCGGCCGCAGCGCGCCAGCCGCAGCGGCCATTGGGGGGTGAACCAACAGAATAGGAGGACCTTTCTCTCTGTCTCTCTCTCTCACTGTCCACTCTGCCTGTAAAAAAATAAAAAATCTAGGAATTGGACAGATGATCTTTTCTTGAGCCCTACTGTTCATTAAAGAATAAGTCTAACGTAATTGTAGTCTTGCCTCCTTCTGACCATTTTATTGAAGTTGACAAACAGGGCTGGCGCTGTGGCATAGAAGGTTAAGCTGCCGCCCACAGTGCCAGCATACCATGTGGGCACCACTTCCAGTCCCCAGCTGCTCTATTTCTATCTAGTTTCCTGCTAATGGTGCCTGGAAAGCAGTGGAAGATGGCCCAAGTACTTGGGCCCCTGCACCCACATGGGAGGCCCAGAAAAAGCTTCCGGCCCCTGGCTTCTGCCTGGCCCAACCCTGGCTGTTGCAGCCATTTGGAGAGTGACCCAATGGATGGAAGATCTAAAGATTCTCTCTCTCTCTCTCCCTTTCCCCCTCCTTCCCTCCCCTTCTCTCTCTCTATTACTGCCTTTCAAATAAATAAATAAATCTTAAAAAAAAAGAAGTTACCAAATATTCATTCAAAGGATTAGTTTCTCAGTTGCAGTTTAAACATGCTGGAGTTCTTTAGCCTGGTAGTTTTGCTTTTTTAAATAATAGTTTTAAGTTGTTGTGATTCTGATATTTGCTGAGGACATTGATACCCAACACAGCCATATACAGATTCTTCCATACTAATTGATTTTAATGTGTTTTAACTCTTTTTTTTTTTTTTAAGAAATTAATTCTGGTATTTTTTTATTCTTACATCATGTTGGATAACATTTTATTAATTTTGTTTTAGTCCACAAACATCTATCAAACTTTTGACAGTTAAGCTTCAGGATTTTTATGATGATGCCATAATAAAGTTTGTTTAGAAACATTGCCATTATCTCCCTCGACCTAATTTGACCAAATGGATTTATTTTTACAGAATCCTACTCATAATATTACCACTTCTGCATACAGCTGAAGAAAGAAAACGTCAAGTCTTTTGTCCTGCCTCTTTTCCTTCTGCTTGTCCACCTTTCTAAATACACAGGGAAGTCACGGGGTGAAAACATTTCATTTGTGTTATAGGCACTTTGACCATCAGCTGCCTTTTGAATGGAAAAATGGTTGTCATTTTATTGTATCAAAGTAACAAATGGAGATAATACAATGGGATAACCATTAGGCTGAGGATAAGAAACGCTCTGCTTATTGTCTCATTTGTGGTGATATTAATTTAATTCATTAACTGCTGTCTTGCAGTGGCATTTCTTTTCCAAAAATACAGTGCTAGATGTTTTGAAATAAAACTTAAAGCAATTTTTTGAAAAGTTAGCAATCATATAAAGTGATAATAGCTGCTTAGTCATCATCTGTATATCTGTAATTCCAGGAGCTATTTGTGATAATTCAGTTTATATTCATTACACGAAAGGAAATTGGTTAGCAGAAGACCCCCATAAATAGGTTAATTTAGATTTTAAGAACCCAATGTACATTCAGTGCAAGAAAGTTCAACTTTTCCTTGATAGCTTAGAAGTTTTCTATGGAATCTAAGTCGGTAGATCCTTACCTACTTGATTCAGTTACTATTTTGGCACACTCTGTATGCATTTAAAATTAATTTAGTTTTGGATGTTGTATAACTTAAGTTGGGCTATTAACAATGTATTTTTTTAATTATTATCCCTCTAGACAGAGCCATTGCTATATGATACAAGATGGGAGAGATTAATAATCAACTAATTTTATCTAAAATGTTGTCAAACATTTCAACTACAAGTCAGGAAAATATTTTCTTTAATAAAACTTAAATAGAAATTATTTCAACAATTAGAATAATGTTGATTGTCTCTCATAGTGGAATATCTAAAGAAAAATTGCAGTTCAGTTACAATAATACTCCTATAACATTTTGCTGTGTTTTAGATACCATTTTTTTATTGGTTAAAGGACTTTCTTTCCATCCTTTAATAAATATTTATTTGATAAACTATCTTAGAGACTCTAAAATTAAACATATTTACTTAAATTACAAAAAGCATCATCCAATTCTCCCTTCCCATTGAAAGCCTGCTCCATAATTGAAGTACCAAAAAACCTGTGAGCTCTACTGCCAAAAGATGGGCATTGGGGGAATGATATTAACTGAACTTCCACAGGAAGACAAATGTAAATCTGGTGGTGGTTTAAGTACACATCTGCGTGTACCCAAGAGAACTACTCAGTCTCAAAAATTAATGGAAGATATAACCTTAGTACAGAATTTTTTTGTTCTTAATAAGGCTCAGGAAATTAAAATCAATTGGGTATGTGATGTAATGTACTTGTTATATTATGTAAGTGAATATAATCAAAAAAGTAAAATGGACAATCTAGATTTCAAAACTAATAATTAATAAGTAAGTCACTGGATGTAAACAAGAACTTTTAAAAGCCATTCTTCCTAAAACTTAACAATCAGAACTGGGATCCCCAGAATTTTCAAGTGTCTTCTTGAACATCCCCTTCATCTCTTTAATCAGTCCTGAGGCATTCATTTGATCAGTGAGATCTCTTCGATCTAATAACTCAAGATCTTTATCATTAATGACCTTTTCATGATTCTTTCACTTCCCTAAAATAATTTCTGGATTTTAATAACTTCATTAAATCTTTAGGACCTAAGAAATTCTTAGATTGATTTAATCTGGATAGACCACCTAGGAAATGATCATTGTGGATAATCAACTTTCCTAGTTTTCTTTGAGCAGCTGCTCTTTAAAGCAATGAGATAGACTATTCTTTACCTAAAATGTCTCATTTGTTGCCTGTTCATTGGGCTTTCATTATGCTAATAAAAGTGCCCTCTGTGTGACAGTTTTTATTTTACAGTCTCCAGTTTTCTTGGAACTGTTTGTTGGTACCAGTTTTCATGCCACCTCCTTGGGTACCCCGCCCCGGGCCACCTTTTTTTATATTAGTACATTCTCCATTGTGTTCCCTCAAGATCTGACACTTAGCGCACAAGGTTGGAGAATATCACAGAACATTTCAGAGACTGGGGGTTCTGTAAATACTTGTTTTATACTGCTGATAAAAAAGTATTTCCAAAGTATATCTTAAGCAGGTGGTAGCTATGTACATTATTTGGTAGATAAGTAGTGAAAAGCCTTTGGTGTTTCGCCTAGAGGTAGGGATGGTGCTGAAAACAGAAAGGGAGTAGAGCTCTGTAACAGTCTGTAAAAAGTGAAGAGAGGCCCTCACTGGTTAAACCCCTCCAGCCAGTGCTGGTGGTAGCTCATTATAAAATGTTATTGAAGATTTTTTACAGTTGTAAAATTTAGTTGTTACAACTACACATCTGTTTCTGAAAAAGAAAAGAAATAGGACTTCATATTTCCATGAATTTTGGGTAGGAGAAAAGAATGCCCTCACTATATTTCTGTATATTTCTTCCAAGAAAAAGTCTGATGTTATTAGTACTTTCATCACAACCCTCTGTATAAGTTTTTAACAGAGGGGGAGGGAGGGGTCTTTATTCCTTTGAGATCAATATCCTTAAATATAAGTAGGTGGTGAAAATTAATATTATTATAAATACCATGAGAACTTGGCATTGTCTCCATCCCCTTCAGTTAAACAGTCTTCTTTCATGGAGGCTTTTTTTTTTTTTCTCCTTTTTAGTTAATCTCTGAGCATGCTTTTTTTTCTTAGAAGCAGAGTTGCAGAGAGGAAAAAATAAAATTCAGTCTTAACAGAAACTCTGTGTTGTGTCTATAGTTCAAAAATTAGAAATTCAAATTGAAATTAAAAATAACTTCAGATATTCAGTATACAGAAGTTAAATTCTAATTAGACAAGAAATCATTTGTTTTTCATGTCAGTTTACAAAGCTGAGGAATGCTCCTTAAGGAAGACTGAATTTTCGCATAGGTATATCCAAAATTAATTTGGTTCAGATATTAATTTGAAAAATCAGTGATACATGATAGGAAGCTAGTGATTCTTGCTACGTCACACTTGAATGGAGTTCACTACACTTCACAGGCATAACAATGTAGTAATTTAGCTATATTCTCTCATTGTATTACCCCCATTTTCCAGGCTTTTTCCAACAGTCTCCTTCCCACAAACTGTTTAGCTTCCAGATGCAAATGAACAATGTAAAACTGAGTAGGAACACTGCAGAGAGAGGCCCTTCCTGTGCTCACTGTTTGGAATTTTACAGCTGAGATTGAGCATGTAGCTTTAAAAGAGAAATTCCTTAACTCGTTCATTTTGTATTTATTTATTTTAGGTGTATTTATCTGAGAAAAGAAATGTGGTATTTTCTCTTTCCAACAAAGGGGATCAAAGTAATGGTTTTTGTCTCCATCCTCTAAGCTGGTATGTGTTATAATTTCAGGTACTTTAGCAGTATGGAAATGTACTTTAAACTGCTCTTACCTTTGGAATGATCATGACTATGTGTTGTGTAAATATTTAAAACTTACATTGTTGTCACTTGTGCACTGTGAATGAACTTTGTATTATTTTTTAAAAACTTCATACTACATGTAGATGTTTCTGCAACTTATATTTTGCCTGTGCTTGATCTAAGGTTATTTGTGTAGATGTGTAATTAAATGATGCTTAAATCACATTATAATTCTGTTAGTGGAGAGAATTTTTGAAATTTTAAATTTTCTGTCTTAATAAGGAAGAGAGAAAGAAAAATTTATGTACATAGAGTCATTATTTGACCTTACCATAAAACCAAATTCTTGGTCTAACAAGCTTTTAACGTGGCTCTTCCCTGAATGCTTGAATTTCATATGCTTTGCGTTTTACAATGGCTATCTGTGGGCAACCAGTGCTTTTTTTTCATGACATTTGTCAAAATATTTGGACTTGTTTGTGTGTATTGGTTTGTTTGTTTAGTAAAATACGTGAGTTTTCTAATTGCATTTTTCTGCTATGGCTATCATTTTCATTAATGATGCTAGCATATTCAGTCATGTGAGGCTCACTAAAACGTTACAACTGCTAGAACTAAGAGGAATTTTAAAGATCATTTAATTCCATCTACCACCTGATTAAAAACTCCCATTACTCACTTTCTTTTTCCTACCAGAACTGGCTCATAAATGATCTTTACTGAATACTTGTTTTGTTGTTCATTTAATGTGTAAAAGAAGGAGGTGTACGAGTGCCTTCTCCAGGATTCATACACTGAAGTCAAAACTGGGAAAAGACTTAGAGTCACGACTGCTTCAAGAAATAGTGCACAGTAGCTGTACAGTAGATTATTTCTGGTCAAGAAATGTCAAGAGGCTTTTAAGTTCTTTAGAAGGTATATGGGGGAGAACACGTTTCAGTTGTATTGGCATGTATATCTCTTACCTGTGCTAGCAGACTGATGTTAGTGTGAGACCCAAAGAAAGTTGTATTTTAAATTGTTTATCTTTTGTGCAGTTCAATTCAAAAATCTTCATGTATCAGAAAAATTTGAAGAATTAAATTACTGAAGATATAATAGAACAACTTTTTCTGTTAACATGTGCTATTGAAGAGTTAATATTTTTAGCAGGGGCTGGCGCCATGGCGCACTAGGTTAATCCTCCGCCTGCGGCGTTGGCATCCTATATGGGCACCAGATTCTAGTCCCAGTTGCTCCTCTTCCAGTCCAGCTCTCTGCTGTGGCCTGGGAAAGCAGTGGAGCATGGCCCAAGTGCTTGGGCCCCTGCACCCGCATGGGAGACCAGGAAGAGGCACCTGGCTCCTGGCTTCAGATCGGCGTAGCTCCAGCCATTGCGGCCATTTGAGAGGTGAACCATTGGATGGAAGACTTTGTCTCTGTCTCTTTCTCACTGTCTGTAACTCTACCTGTCAAATAAAAAAAATAAATCTTTAAAAAATATTTTTAGCAAATTGAAGTAGCTACCATGAGTTTATAGATAATACAAAATGGTTTTAAAGGAGTCACATACCCAGTTTTCAATGGCTAACATGATCTGATTATGTTCTACATATATGAGACAAAGTTCATAAATGTAGAAAACTTAAGATTGGGTCAAGCTCTACAAGAGTGGTTAAAAGTTAAAAACTAAGATGATATCAGGAATGTTTTATTTGGAGTGAGTTTTAGCCTAATGAGGACAGTTTATAAAAACTAAGGGTGAGAAAAACCTGCATCATAAGGCATTAAGTTAAATCTCTCCTAAAATGACAGAATTGAGTTACTGAACATGACAAGCTCATATATGAACCTTCCCCAAAAGACTTGCTGTGAGTTATGTACCCCTTAGGACTAGTGTTATGGCTCATTTGGATCAAGTCACTACAAGGAGGTAAATACTACTTCTAACTGTTTTTAAATCAAGGTTGCCCTTTCATTCTAAAGAGAGTTTTTGTTGTTGCTGGTTGGGTTGTCTGGTTTATTTTTTGTTTTTAGTTTATTAACTCATGTGAAACTGGTTCTTATCCAAGTACTTAAGAAGACTCAAAAATCTTTCTGGAACAAAAATGAGACTAGAGGCACCAGTGGAGACACAGGCACTGCCTCAGTGATGCTGCTAGCAACCTCCCACAGAGAGATTTTATGGCAGTGTTAAGAATACATGTTACAGGGATGGGTGTTTATCATAGCTGATAAATGCTGCTTGAGTTGCTTGCATCCCGTATCAAAGTGCCTTGAGTTCAAGTCCCAGTTCTGCTCCTAATTCCAGCTTGCTGCTAATGCATACCCTGGGAGGCACAGGTCCTTATTACCCACATAGGAGACTCAGATTGAGTTCCCAGCTCCTGGAGTTAGCCTGGCCCAACCCAAGTTGTTGTAGACATTAGGGGAGTAACCCAGTGGTTAATGGGAAATCAATCTCTGCCCGTTAGCCCCACTCTTTCAACCTTTGAAATAAATAAACTTTGGGACCGAATATGCATTATACTCCTTAATGTCAAAGCAGAGTATTCTGCATTTTACTAAATCAGTAACAACATGAAAATTAAAATTTTAGTCATTTGTCAGAAAATAGTTATTATTTTGATCTACCACTTGCCCAAAGTTCATGAGACCTAATATTTGTGAGAAAATATGTAGCGAATAGGTTAGCTTCATCTTCTTTGCTAAGGTTTATCTCAGGATTAGGCTACATCATCAGAATTAATACCGTCTGGACTACCTTCCTCCATCTTCATTATGCCCTTAGCTTTCATAAATACTGTACAATACATCTATTTAAAGAAAACAGCATTTTTTGCAGAAGTCTAACAGTATGTCTCTGTTATCACTCATGTTCATTAATGTCAAGGTTACTAGATAATTCTGAACCAACCAAGCTTCCCCTCTGAACAGATGTGTATATTGCTTACCTTTTGACAGCAAGAACTCAAGGCCTTACCAGTTTCTTTCTTTGCTTCCGGTGCCAGGAAATGCTGAAATTAATTGACCTCTCAACTGAAGTTATGAATTAACCATTTTTCTGCTTTGTTGCTGTTGTTTTGTTGTTAATCTCTTATCTATACATTGTGACACAGAAATAATCCTGTGTCATTAACAAAATGCGTTGCTACTATTTCTTCTTTAAGAAGTGCTTTTAGGCCGTGGCTCACTAGGCTAATCCTCCGCCTAGCGGCGCCGGCACACCGGGTTCTAGTCCCGGTCGGGGCGCCAGATTCTGTCCCGGTTGCCCCTCTTCCAGGCCAGCTCTCTGCTGTGGCCAGGGAGTGCAGTGGAGGATGGCCCAAGTGCTTGGGCCCTGCACCCCATGGGAGACCAGGAGAAGCACCTGGCTCCTGCCATCGGATCAGCGCGGTGCGCCGGCCGCAGCGCGCCAGCTGCGGCGGCCATTGGAGGGTGAACCTACGGCAAAGGAAGACCTTTCTCTCTGTCTCTCTCTCTCACTGTCCACTCTGCCTGTCAAAAAAAAAAAAAAGTGCTTTTGTCCAGAGCTCTCACGTGGGCTGAGAAGCTCTTTGCATGGCTAGTGTATGTAATTTTTCTCTGCAGTAATTAATTTATACATAATAAAGAGCTGAAATTGCCTCAAGAGCATAGTACATGCCGACCACCTAGGCAATAATGTATCTGCCTCTCTGCAGCCATGAGCCAGACTAATGGGAGTAAAGCATGCCTAGGATATGTTGGGAATAAGGGTCAGATAGGTGTCCATTCCAGAAAAATCAACACATCCTTGCCTGGGCCTATTATAAATCCCTTAGCAGGACTCAGAACTCCCCCAAAAGAATGTGTTGTAACTGGCTGTTAGCATTTGGAGATTCATATACAAATTCCTGAAAGCCTTTTTATTGGTCCATACACTATTTTGCCAAAGATTAGTCTCATGAAATTCTTGGTTTTCCATTTGAATGTTGAAGTTGAGAAGAGAAAACCAGAGCACCAGAACTGATATGGCCTTCGTTTTGCATCCATTATCACAGCATATTAATTTCCAATTTATAGGTGAAGAAATAGGCATAGAAAAATTTTGAGTGACTTGAGCAAAGTAATTCTAGTAAGTAGCAAAGTTGAAATTTGGAAACTAGGCTGCCAATAAACCTTTGCACTTTCCAAAATCTGCCTCTCAAAAATAATTGTAGGGAAATGAACATTCTAATGTGAGGAGCATACTAGGGTCCTTAATCCACCTGGAAAGTACAAAATGAGCTAACTCATTTCATAAAAGACCTGGCACAGGATAGCATTTCCCATCTGTAGGAAGCTTCTGTGTTGCACTGTGAAAAACGAATGAGCAGAGAAGTGAGGTCCCCTGTGTGGCCTTGGTGGGCAAGATGAGATTCAGGAGTAATTCATGGCAAGCCCAGGCCTTAAGTGGTAGAAGTTAAAAATGAGTGCTTTGCAGTTTCTCATTAATGAGTTAATCATGTTAATTTTCTCATCCTACCTATGCAGATTCTCCAGATTAATTTATAATTCAATACAAATTAATGGAAATATAGACTTAACAGATAATTTTGTTGCAATAGCATTTTTGAAATCCATGTATCATTTTTTCTTAGTACACAATTTTCACACTTCCCTTAGGGATCTTTAAAAAGTTCATGGAAAATGCATAGCATTGACAAAAAGCATGAATTTCAAAAAATTTTTACACCAAAAAAATATTTTAAATTCATTTTTTCCATGAACTTTTAAAATTAGTCTCATATTTTTAACCTCAGTTTTGCTTTTTTGTTTGTTTTTTAAGGTTTATTTATTTATTTTAAAGTCTAAGTTACTGAGAGGGAGAGGTCTTCCATCTGCTGGTTCACTCCCCAGATGGCTACAATGGCTGGGGCTGGGCCAGGCGGAAGCCAGGAGCTTCATCTGGGTCTCCCATATGGGTGCAGGAGCCCAAATACTTGGGCCAACTTCTGCTACTTTTCCCAGGCCATTAGCAGGGAGCTGGATTGGAAGTGGAGCAGCTTGGACTTGTCCCCATTGGGGATGCTGGCATTGGAGGAGTGGCTTTATCCCCTAGGTCAAAATACTGGCCCTTACCCTAATTTTAAAACCTTGATTATTTTATTTTACAAGTTTTACTGTTTTTGACTGCCTTTTTGTTTCTAATATACTTAACACTGTTTTGTTTTTAAAAAAAAAAAAAAAGTAATGGGATTAGTGGAAGCTTCTGCAATTTCAATAACATTGATTCTCAGGAATCTCTTCTTTTAATATTCTGGCCTGGAGATATGTCTAATTTCCCAAGACTATTAGGTTGGAAGTAGTTACTTTCTGCTAGAGTTCTTAAGAGTTTAAGCTATCAGAACGCCTCTGGTAGGCATGCTTAACACTCCTGCCATTCGCAGCCTCCACTGTGTCAGAGCTTTCAGCACAAGCACAAGGCTGCTCCCATCTGCCTACAGACTCCTCTTTCTAAAATCAGACATTTACATTCTTGCTCATTATACTAATTGGAGTGGCCATAGGTGAATCAAGATTTGAGAGTGTAATTCTGTTCATGTCAGCAGGACAGAAGTACTGTGTTGTCACCCTGTTAGAGCGCAGCATTTGCCCTCCCTATCAGGCGCTCCTTCCCCATCCCGCCCCGTGCCCTGGTGCGTTCTGCCAGCTGTGTACCCTATGATTGGCTGAGCTTTTGATGTGCAGATACTACAAGTTGGTCACAAACTTGTGTACAATGGGCCTGTTCTGGTTCATGTGAAAATCAACATCCTTTTTTGTGTCGGCTGGTGACAGGATGCTACAATACTATTAGCATTTGCAAAGAGTGTGCCCTGTCCAGGGGTGTAACCACAGATCGTGTGCTGCTCAGTTTGTGTTTCTCTATTATGCGAGAGACACAAAGAAGCTGAAGGCTGGCAAAGGCCTGTCAAATCTTGTCATGTAGCGCTCGACCCCCAAACTCCACTTGGCCTCCAGCGTCTCTTGTTCCCTGTCCCACCCCTTCCTCTGAATGGGCTCTGAGGTAGGTAAATGAATTCAGCGGCCTGGTGGGCGGGGGATTCCTTTCTGACCTCATTCCTGTACCATTTGTTTGCAGGCTTGTAGGGGGAGAGGAGGACATTTTGGCATCCTTTGTGTCAAATCATTTTCTT